GTTTAGGAAAAGAAGACTACGGTTCATTTTATTTCCAAATTCATGTTCAACTTCTGCCTGTGTCTCCAGTTTCAGACATGGAGGTAGGGGGAAAACAGAGAGTCAAACTAAATTTGATACTGAATGAGAACCAGAACAAAACCTTTCCCTACATCAGGACAATTCATGTCCCTGCTGAGACATGGATACACAAGCTGCCCAGCATGACTACATTGCTCATTCACTGTAATTTTTTACTTTAAAATGAGATAAAACATGGATGCTCTGAAACGATCCATTCGATGTGAATAGATACCACACCTCCTGCACACACATACACACTTATATATTAGCAGGAACCTGACAAGGAGTCAGAAGAGTGGCCTTTCTGAACATCCAGCATGCTAAGGATGTGCCCTACCATGGGATTATAAGCTTTCTATTATTATATTAATGTACAACCCATTGACACCAGTGTTTTATCTTTGTTGTGATTTACAATATAGCAATTATTTATGTCTTTCTTCAGTAAGACAAAATTATTTCTTCTCTTTTAAGAAGTTGACTACCCTCATGAGGCAGTACATTGAAATAGCTATGCTGATGTGTGCAATCCATAAAGGCAAAGAGATATAGACTGTTACTGAGGAATTTTGGTGTTCATGATTCACATGTTTGACAGCTTCATTAGGTCTTCTTTAGTAGAATCAACACCAGGAAAAAGTGGTTATTATTGTATTGGTCCTGGGTACTGGCCTGGGAAGTTAGATTGGCTCCTTGCTCTTTTATAAATCTTGTTGTTATATGTCATCAAGTCTGAACTGATTTATAGCAATCCTAATAGGGCTGTCAAGGTGAGATATTTAAGAAGTGGTTTTACCGGTTCCACTCCCTCAGTGAGCTTATGTGGCTGAGTGACTATTCGAACCCATGCTCCTGAGTCCCAGTCCATCTACCCACTAGGCTACACTAGGTATCTTTATAAGCCTTGATGAGGTCTATTTGTAGAGAAGGGAATTGTGCACTATGTCTCAAGCTGATGTGATGCTTATTACATGTTTTCCCAACTTTGCTGGCTTCTAAAGGTAAGATGAAGCTGTTTTACTCTGTCTAGCATTTGGTGTGTTTTAATCATGACACATATTCAGAGACAGAGCTTGTTGAAAATTCATTAAGAATTAAATCATTAGCCCAATTTGTTAAATTTAACCACACTTGTAAGACTAATGAAAATGACCGATAACAAGAATATTAATGTACTGAGTAATGGTTAACATTTCATGTTATTTTCTTTTGTTATTTTCCTCCTATTAAGGAAGAAAGTCATTTTTGGCCATTTCAAATGTTTTAGTTACTAATATGTCATCAATAATTAACTTAAATGTTATAGGTAAAGGTAAAGGTTCCCCTTGACATTTAGTTCAGTCATGTCCAACTCTAGGGTGCGGTATTCATCCCCATCTCCAAGCTGTAGAGCCAGCGTTTGTCCGTAGACAATTCCGTGGTCACTTGGCCAGCGCAACTAGACACAGAATGCCATTACCTTCCCACCGAGGGGGTACCTATTTATCTACTCGCATTTACATGCTTTCAAACTGCTAGGTTGACAGGAGCTGGGGCAAGCGACGGGAGCTCACTCTGTCGCATGGATTCGATCTTACGACAGCTGGTCTTCTGACCTTGCAGCACAGAGGCTTCTGTGGTTTAACCCACAGCGCCACCATGTCCCTTAAATGTTATAAATCCCAGTAAAACATTTAAACATAAATGAAGCAAGTTTTGAATTCATGTAAACATTTGACTAAATGTTAGTGCTTCTAAATCCTGCTCAGGGAACATAAATGTCATTTATTTAAAATCATCTTTGGTCCAGCTTTGAGCCTGACAACCCTTAATATTTATTTCCTTAACATGGATTATAAAAGCTGGAGGAAATAAATTGCTGTGTGGACATAAAATATGCCTTTCCACTGGAATCTAACTGGCCTTGGCACTATGAGCAGCTGGGATGCAGAATTAAAGTAGAAATATATGTTTCTAATAATGTGCCCATTTTAACTTCCTGGAGACTGGACAGAGCTGTCAATGTCACACTGATATACAAAATGCAGAATACCCATTACATTGTATGTCACACAATTTTGTCATACTTGAAATTTGTTCCACATGATAAAATGAAATCAGGTAGTACCTGATTGTTGCAGAACCCATTAGAAATAAATAATAGCATGTTCCCCCAGATGTGAATGTTATAATATTGGGGCATTGTTTTTAACTATTTATGGCTGATATCAACAAGAGCAACATGGGTGTTGGCTGTCTATCCCACTACACCCATACTGTGTGTGAGACATGATTCCTTCTTCTCTCCTCTAGGTACATGGAGATACTTAAGCCAATGGTATGATTCCTTTTGGCTTCTTCTCTCCGCTAGGTACATGGAGATACTTAAGCCAATGGACTGAGAACCAGAAGCCAGGTGCGATCAAGTAATGTTGGCCGTCCCATGCTACCAGGAAATCAGGTTTGTGTGATACTAATTTTGCAGAAATTACAATTTCTTTCCTGTCTGTGAATATAATTGATTCTTCCTCAATGCTTTACAACCCCTTCCCCACCATAAAATACGTAACTTTTGCTTTCAGTTGTACTGAATGAATGCATAGGTGCTGTAATCCAACTCTATTGAACAAAATACAAATGGACTTGGGAGATGATAAAAAGCAGAAACAGTTTGCTGACACTGAAGTTTTTACATGCAAGCTGGCCACTCTCCCGCCCCACATGATACTTCTCATGTGTAAGCCTGAATGGCAAGATCACCAAGAAAGCTGCATTGATCAAATATGTTGCTCCAGTTGCACACATACAAAATGGCCACTGCAACCGTATCTAGGCAGTCCATACTCCAAGGAGTCCCCACATGAGAAGAATCACACCAGAGATAAGCCTTGGCCAGTGGGTTGCATATGATTTCTGAACATTCATGAGACTATCATGATTCCCTGCCAAGACATGGATACACAATCTGCCATGACATTAGTGGGCAGTTGGATATGACACACTGCTTCATGAGTGTCTTCTTATACTCCTTGCTTTACAGAGCCAAAAATATACTTAGTTACTCATGAAGGTGGTGCTTCATTGCTTAGTGATGACTTTATGATAAGCATTTGCAACTTGAGGAGGATGGACAGATAAAGCCACACTACGTGTGTGCAAAGGGTAAAATATTAAAGAGGCAATCATTCACATGGATTGTGGCCAGCCTGGTGCAATGGAACTCTTCAAATCAAATGAAAGGTTTCTTTTTAAACAATCCACAGAGAAGAACAGCAGCAAAATGAAAGCTCTTTAACCATCTGGATGGGTTTTACAGAGTTCCACAAAAACGCAGAAAAGTTAGTTTTCTATCATTATTTCCCCATCTCCTAGATATTAGCATTGGGCACTGGTGAAGCCACACACACAAAGGAAAGTCACACTTCTTTTGTGTTCTTTAGATAGCATCCACATGCATGGCTATGAAATGGGAAAAGGGAGATTTCTCACTCACATGACACAATAAATTAGATTTTTACCAAAAGTAAGTAAGCGAGCAAGCAAATAAATAAATAAATAAATGATACTGCAAGACCATCATAAAGATAACTTGGCTCTTTATACATATGCCTAACCACTAAAGTTTAGTATGAATCGCTGTATAAATGACTTTTATCACAATATTTACCAATGGGAAGTGGTTTTTTTTCTTTAAAAAATAAATTGCTGGAGGTTGCACATGGCTGCAACCTATGCTCATTTCACCAGTCAAAATATTTTGTGGTCATTTACTTTAAAATTACTATTTTTCCACAGAATAGGTCAATTATATTCCATGGGTAGAGGTAGATTATGGGGTTGAACTAATCATATCAAAGACCTGTAACTTTGTGTGCTCTTTGAGGAGTCTCATAAAACTGAGATAGTCCCATAACAAACCACTAGCCATGGGATACTACAATATATTCCATGATGACTAGTATTTTCATTCCCCACCCCCAGTATTGAACTAATATGAAGTGTACTTTAGTCTGAATGGGAATATTGCTTATTGCTGTCATTTATCACTATCATTTAAAAGAAATAGAGTACCCTGTGAAATTATCATTCATGGCTCTTCAAAACAAGTTCATCCAAAATGGCCAATATTCTTCCCTTTCCGGTCAGCCTTTAGTGGTAGAGGGGCTGTAAATTATGGATCTAAACTTTCATGACAAAGTATTGATGCTGCTTTTGTTCCAGATTCTAAATGCTAAGCTTTCTCTGTGGTCATGTTGTTATAATGAGTTGGCTTGCCTGCTGTGAGATGAACGTTTTTCCCTTGTTCCCTTGTGAAACACACTGTGTTTCTTTGGGGAATCTAATCTGTCATTCTAAATAGATGACTAACCATCTTGGAGGAAAAAAAAAATATATATGGTTGGCTCTTGAATCTGCACATATTGATGTAAATCATCCTTTGAATAGCCACTTTGTTCCTCTTAACCAAACACAGTGTTAAAAGTAACTAGGAACAAGTGGAAAACACAGCTGGGGGAGGACAGAAAGGCATATTTGTGTTTGCCTTCCTAGGCAAGACTGGCGTCCTCGGTTCCTATTATACTAGCAAGCATACAATGTTTGGGAGCCAGCCTGATATATCAGTGTACTCCAGCAATGAGAGCTGTAGAAGGCTAGAACATTTTTTTTTCCAGTAGATGTATTTCTCTCTTAAAATCTTTTCAATGTCCCATTAAACAGGACCACTATTAAGGCTCTTCTAGCATGCATTCCTCAGTTTCACTTCTTAGCTTTTCCTGTACCATGTTGTCCCTGCAACCTGTGTGTCCCACACATTATTCCATGTGTGGCGATGGGACGGCAGTAATGAGATAATGTGCTGCTCATTGTGCTAAGAAAGAAGTCTGACTGAATCTTTCCATTTCTATAAAGAAGGGAGGTTAAAGGTCAGATGGACATTCCTCTAAGAGGTTTCCTACCTGCTCTGTTAATTTCTAACATTTCTTCTTGGGCGAGTGGGCATGTGTCGCTCTGAGTACTGTGATGTGGAGAGTTTATGACAGATTTACAATAATTGGGGGATCCCAGCTGGGGTGGCCGTGGGATATGCTTCTTTTTTTTCTTTGGTAGCTTCTGCTTAGCCATAGCTAAGGAGTAATACATTCCGAAATTGTTCACAATGACTGGTACAGGCATAGCAATGGTCAGCACACCAGCAAGAGCACACAGGGCCCCCACCAACATGCCCGACCAAGTCTGAGGAAACATGTCTCCATAGCCCAGGGTAGTCATGGTGACAACTGCCCACCAGAAGCCAATGGGAATATTTTTAAAGTGTGTGTGTTCACTGGCACTAGGATCATTGGGTTTAGCACCTATTCTCTCAGCATAGTAGATCATCGTGGCAAATATTAGGACACCCAATGCCAAGAAGATGATGAGCAGCAAGAATTCGTTTGTGCTGGCACGGAGGGTATGACCCAAAACCCGCAGCCCTACAAAATGGCGGGTGAGCTTGAAAATTCGCAGGATTCGCACAAACCGGACAACCCGCAGGAAGCCCAAGACATCCTTAGCAGCTTTGGAAGACAGGCCACTGAGTCCAACCTCCAGATAAAAAGGCAGAATGGCCACAAAATCAATGATGTTCAAGGTATTTTTGATAAATTCCAACTTGTTTGGGCAGAAAATGACCCTCATCAGGAATTCGAACGTAAACCAAATCACGCAGACCCCTTCGATATAGGTCAGGAAGGCCTCTGTCTCTGCTTCTTGGTAGACACGCAGCTGGGTGTCATTCCCAACAACTTCCATTTCTGTCTTGTTAACGATGGGATTAAATCTCTCATGAGTCTCGAGGCAAAAAGTAGTGATGGAAACCAGGATGAAGAAGAGGGAGGCAAATGCGATATACTGGAGAGAGAAAGAAAAAAAAATAGGAGAAAAATATTAGAAAGTGAGGCCTGTGAGGGGCTAGGAAAAGGAAACAGGGATGTTACTTTATGAACAATTAAAAACATACATCTGCAGTCCAAGAAACATCTTGTGAAAATTTTTGTTGTTCCATTTTGTGGTCTTTTGTTTTTCTCAACCTCTTAAAGCCAGCTGCATTTTAGAAAAAGCACTTGCTTAAAAGCTGCCCTAGACAGAGATGGTTTAACCCGCTTGGGGAGCCTCTGAACAATATGCTAGTACCTCTTTGCCAAGTTACATGAGAGTGCCCTCTATGCCTTTAGATTGGTGGTAGGGAAATATTTTGCCATCCAGCTTTGCAGAGCTGCCAGGTCAGTCTGTCTCTTAGCCTCTGTTTCTTGTCTCTCACACACCCATACTCACACCAACACGTGGACAGGAACTGTTTCTAATAGCCATTTAGTCTACCTCCACAGAAATGAGCAAGGGTTTTGACTTGGAGCATCTCTCTCGATCTCTATCTCCCTTCCCCTCCAACTCTTTCTCTTTCGCACACACCAGCACATACAATGATCACTCCAGTTGTTCTTACATAGCTATTCACTCACAAAGCTGAGCAGGGAATGTGGGTCAGGAACCTGTCTCTCTCTCTCCCCTGTTATTTCTCTTTCATACACACCAACACATACACCCGCTACACCAGCTATTCATACATAGGCATTCACATGCATCCATGCCCATACTCACACCCATGATTTTGAGGTGTCTTTGGCTTTAATCCCACCTCCAAGGACTGAGGGAAAGCATGGTGTTTTACCTGTGTGTCTGATCTCCCAGTGGGCAGAAAATGCTACCACCACCCTAGGCAGCGGTGTGTCACTGATGCAGTGGGGAATTGGGAGAATGGGGCACCCATGGGAGGGAAGACGTGGCCTTGGAGAGCCATATGCAGCTCATAAGCTTTACTTGAAGGCCAAGAGAAACTGTGACCTTCAGCTTCCCATCTCCCTTAACATTAGCCATGTTAGGTAGAACTGATGGGATTTGTAAGCAAAACACGTAAATGGACAAGTGCTTATCATTGTCTCAGATGACACATCTTTGCCAGCAGCTGATGTAGTTAATTGAATCTATAGTCGTTTCAACATGGAATAAATTTTTTTTTAAACTCTAATATAGTTGACGCAATAACTTCCTGCAATGTTTCCCTACAGAGAGAATGTGAAGTATTAAAATTTTTCATTTGTACTATTATTTACCACAGAAATATGTTTCTTTTGGTGGAGTAGACTCACACTATAAGGAATGCTGGCAAGAGCAAGAGAGAAGCTGGCCCAAGCTGGCCCAGAACTGATCTGCCTATGAAATTAAAGTTTTCAGTTCTGCAGTAGTAGAGGAAACAAATTCAATCAAGATGGGGAAAAAAACTTGAATGAATGTGACTGAAAGAGACAACAGTGCCAGTATCAGGGCAGGAAAGGAGTCCTGTTATTTCTCATGGGATGCTTCATGAGGTATCTTGAAGTATCCATGAGGTGGCTTTCACACTAAGATGTTTTGTGTAGTGGGAACCCTAGTTTTTATACTGCTACCTTTTATGCCTAACAGTATGCAGAAGTGTGACTAAATCACAGGAAGAGATACTAATAATCTGTTCAGTTATAAAATCCTTCTTTTGCTTTTCTTATATTAAAAGAGGCAAAAAATGGGGATTTTATACCTCATATATTAGAAGTGTGTTTCGGCATGTTGACTGAATTAAAACAGTATAGAAGTAGTATCATAGCCTTTCAGAGCTTTCAAATTGTTTCATTACCATCTTTGGCTATCAGCTAGCATTTTTAGAAGGCCAGTTCATGAACCAAGTCACTGTCAGACGGAAAAGGCTGCAGTGCAGCCCCTCCCCCAAAAAACCCCCACAAGTGGCCTTCTAATAATGACACTTTCTTTCTCTTTTTACAAAGGGCTGTGGCATGACATTCCCTTTCAGCTACACCCTCTTCCTGTGGGAACTTCACAGAATGCTGAGGGACACTTGTGGGACAGTCAGGAAAATGTATTGGCAGCAGGCACCGCAGACTCCTCTGGATAAGATGCCACGAGACTGGCTGAAATTGAGAGCTTTGAAACTGCACCAATTTCTCCTTGGAATTGTAGAGTTATCTCTGAGGTGAACAGGTCTCCCCAACATGTACAGTCTAGGCACAGCCCGTGGTAGTAATGGCTGAACTAGTCCCAGGCATGTCTGAGGCAATTCTTACATCTGAAAGACAGGCTCCCGAGAACAACTGTTTCTAAATTGAACATTTACATCGCCTTTGCCATAAAAAAAGAAAAGAAAAACACTAAAAAGCTGTAAGAGAATGTATGCTTTTCTTTAACAAGAGCAATAGTGAAGGAAAGGCTAAGTCCTTGCCAAAGGTTTCCTTCCATTTCTATTAATAGTTGGCACAAATGTGCAGTTCCTAGCCAGTTGCATGGGTGGCAACTGGACTGCACAAATGGCACAGAGAAAGACAGCTATACCCATTTGTTTTGGCAACACCATCACAGGACCCAGCAATGTGGGCGTCAATAATTCTTTGCCCAAATGAAGTATCTGGTCCATTAGCCTCATTAATGTGACAACCTGCATTCAGAAGTGCATTAATTTCCCTCTTACTATACTATTGCACTGTTAAACCTCCTGAAAGTGATAATATTCTCTCAAGGACACCAAGATTTTTAAATATTGATCTTTTTCTACCTCCACCTATTCCAATGTACCATTGAATGACAAGAGCATGACAAGAGCATGTAATACGAATGACAAGGAGCTACATGAGTCCTGTAGATTCTCTATCTCTCTACTTTAAAAAACAGGAACAGTGGCAATCTGTTCTTATTCTCATGTGTTATGACATTGTCCTAGGTATGTCTATCAACTCCTAGTTCCTAAAATGAAAAGTTATCACCCAAGAATATGCACTAGGTATAAAGGGGCACCTTGAAATGTGGAATACAGAAGATCAGTAGTCAGCTCAACTGAGTGCCTCTGTCGAAGTATAGAGACACTGAAAATGAAGAGACCTCATTTCCCACCTCATTCAAGTCTACTGGGGATCAGGTTGTGCTGTGGGTGACAATGGGATAATTGAGAGGAGCTGCAGGTGTTAGTCTAAAACTGTAAAGTCACTGTTCCACTGAGGACATGGAAAGGTGAACAGAAAAACCATGAAATGAAATTTAAGAAGGACAGCTATGAACTGATGTGGAAGAAAAATCTAAAACAGAGGCAGTATGGTAAAGAATAGGTAATACAGGATAATTAGAGGAGCAGTAATCCTTGGAGAAGCTTTAGGAGTTTTGCTGGGTAACAAACTGAGCATGAGTCCTCAATCCAGTGAGGACATGGAAAGGTGAACAGAAAAACCATGAAATGAAATTTAAGAAGGACAGCTATGAACTGATGTGGAAGAAAAATCTAAAACAGAGGCAGTATGGTAAAGAATAGGTAATACAGGATAATTAGAGGAGCAGTAATCCTTGGAGAAGCTTTAGGAGTTTTGCTGGGTAACAAACTGAGCATGAGTCCTCAATCCAGCCTTGCACACCACACACCACATCAAGAGCACCTTTACCAATAGAGCCCTCTGCACTCTACATAGGATAAACAAGACAGTCTCTATGCAAAAGAACTAATAGGCATAAATCAGACACCAGAAAGCTCCACATACAGCAACCTGTCTCAAATCACATTCGTCTACCAGTATACTCTCCATAAGGGACATGGTGGCGCTGTGGGTTAAACCGCAGAAACCTCTGTGCTGTAAGGTCTGTAGATCTTCAGCTGTAAGATCAAATCCACGTGACGGAGTGAGCGCCCGTCACTTGTCCTAGCTTCTGCCAACCTAGCGGTTTGAAAGCATGCAAATGCAAGTAGATAAATAGGGACCACTTCGGTGGGAAGGTAACAGTGTTCCGTGTCTAAGTCACACTGGCCATGTGACCACGGAAGATTGTCTTCGGCTCTATGGCTTGGAAACAGGGATGAGCACCGCCCCCTGGAGTTGAACACGACTGGAATAAATAAATAAATTAGGCTCAGAAAAAAGAAGGTAATCCACTGGTCCAAGGTAATCCAGTGAATTCTACAGCTCAAGTGAAGACTCAAACCATTACCCACACTGACTCTCTTACACTTGCTAACTGAATTTCTATTGAAAAATCAAGTGTTTTGCTTCCAAAAAAATCCCAAATTCAATCCTCAACATCTCCAAGGTGGACTGAATAAAACCTCCATCTCAGATACTAGACAATTACTGCCAGAGAGTATAAACAGTACTGAGGTTGGTGATCAGTGATCTGAATCTACATAAAACATGCTTCTGTGTTCCTCAGCAACGGTCTGCATAAGTCTACTGAGTCTACATAAGACACCTCTTCCTTCCTCAGCAAGTCACATTTGCTGCTCCACCCAGGCCTATATTTTGTTGTTGTTGTTGTTTAGTCATGAACATGAAGTCCCTGTATTCAAACTCATATATCTGAAGAAATTGAGAATGTTGTGCAAAAGCTTACATTAGAAACAGCAGTTAGTCTTTTAAATGCCATGACATCTTTTTTTGCATATTTTGTCTTTCTTGTTAATCTACTTAAGTTAGAGTATTGGACAGTGATGAGTCAATCACAGCTGGATGCATGAGGAGCATCATGTTTGAAAGGATATGGGATCTGCAGTGTTAAATCTGCAGAGGGTCACTCCTACATGCAAAACCACCACTTAGCATTTTTGCCACCAAATTTGGAATAAATATGCTTGTAACCTATCCTCAAAAACTGTTCTGCACATCTGGCTCTTTGGTACATGACCCTAAGTAGACATTTTGGCCTATCTAAATCATGACAGGCATGTACGTTGGGCTTTCTTGTCAATGGAACTGCTTCTAAACACCACCACCACCCCCATTTTGATCACCCTTTAAAAATCTGCTGGGGTCACTAATTACTTATTTTTGTCA